AAACTGACCAGATGTCTTATTGCTTCTGTGTCTTTAGATGAGGTCCGCACCGGGACGTATCGCCAGCTGTTTCATCCTGAGCAGCTGATTACTGGTAAGGAAGATGCCGCCAACAACTATGCCCGCGGACACTACACGATTGGTAAAGAAATCATTGACCTGGTGCTGGACAGGATCCGCAAACTGGTGGGTAAATTTTACAACACTGGTCCTCCAAGTTTCTAATTTATCTTCAGCTTTTACTAAAAAAATATTTTTGTTTTTTCTTTTTAAAATTTATGTTAAACGCAATTAGGACCCAGTTACTTTGATAGACTACAACAACTAATCTATTGCAAAACTAGCAGCTGAAACAAAAACATGATTAATAGGAAAGTAGCCATAATTTCTAGAGTAACTTGTGAGGAGCTGCACAGCTCAGGTGGGAGAATCCTTTCGTCAAAATCACCAACACTAAACATGGTTGGAGACAGTCTTACAACACAGGAAGCTATAAAAGACTTTAGACAGGCCCAATGGAATGGATTTTGTCAAAAAAAAAAAAAAATTATGTTAAATAGTTGAGCTAAAATGGAGACCAAAAATCTAATTGAGAATATGTGTTAAGATTTGAAAATTGATAGAGATGTCTCTGCCCAAAATTGATAACAGAAATTGGTCCATCATTAACCAGGAGAAATGAATATCAGGTTACAACCACCTGAAGCTGAAAGTGCTCTGCTCCAGCCATCCTCATCATCAGTTATCCACTATTTCTATCAACCTTCTGTCCTAGACAGATAAAACAACAGCTGAGCTTCTTATTTATTGTTTTTATTTAGTAGTAAAATATTCTTGTTAGCTTAAAAATGACAAATGGGTTGCCTGTTGACTATTCTCTGTAACATCACTTAATAAAGCCTTCTCTAACATTCTTCACTACGAAATGAATATTGGTATGTGCGATGATATTGTAAGGCGTCGGTATTGCTATCGGTCAATAAGCAGAGCTGCAAGACCTGCTTAATTTTGGAAATTAAACTTATTTTAGAACTAGGGATGTCAAAAATTAACCTGACTCTGCCAGATGGATTTGCTCCGCATATCCATCTGGAAACCTTCCGTTGAAGTAATTTTGGGAAGGGGCGAAAATACTGGTTAGCTGATTGGCCTATGTTGGTGATAGACGGGCCAAATAAACCAATCAGATCGACAAAGCATAAGACGTAACAGAGCGACGACAAAGAGGAGCCAATTGATTGATCAAACTCTTGCCGAAACCAGTCGGGAGAAGAGCAAAAACATCTTTTCCTCTGAGAAAAGCCTCCAGAGCAGTGTTTTGCTCTTCTTTCAGTGAAGAAATACTCTGTAATTCCGATAAAACTTGCTCGATAGCCACGCCAAAGACTGAACTGTCGCGCTTCTCGTTGCGTCACACCTCAACCCGCCTCAAAGCCAACGCTGATTGGACGTTCGTTTGGTGAACTGCTCCAAATTTTCTTCGACGGAGAGTCTCCAGACTGATTAGCCGGTGAAATCTTGAAAGCTCGCGAGATCAGGATGGTCTCACCAGGCTAGTCAAAAATATCCGTACAGTAAAAAGAATTAATACTCAAACTGTATCCAAATACAATACTAATTTTGCCATATTGACATTACTATAAACAAGTATTGTTTGCTTATTTTTGCTATTAATTTCAGGGGGAAAAATACCTCACAAAACCTTACGATATCGTTAAATTGTGTTCTACTGGAGTTTTTATTTTAATTTTGTATCCCTGTGGTATCTAAAATGGTATCAAATATTGAATATTTTCCTGGTTATTGACACTGAGTTTACAATTTTAGGATTGTATATTCCAACCATATTCAGAACACCCCTAAAACTGCTGTTCATTGACACTCTTCAAAATGTCTGTTCTCCAAGTATTCTCTAGAGAAGACGACAATAGTTACCTTTCATCCAGGTCATAGCAACAAGAGAACAGTTTTAGATCTGAGACTGACACCAAATATAGCTGGTAGAGAGTATACATTATAAACCCATATCTCACATTACGTGTGAATTTCTGTTACCACAGGCTGACCAGTGCACAGGGCTGCAGGGTTTCCTGGTTTTCCACAGCTTTGGTGGAGGAACTGGTTCTGGTTTTACCTCTCTGCTGATGGAGCGCCTCTCTGTAGATTACGGCAAGAAGTCCAAGCTGGAGTTCTCCATCTATCCTGCCCCTCAGGTGTCCACTGCAGTGGTTGAGCCCTACAACTCCATCCTGACCACCCACACCACCCTGGAGCACTCTGACTGTGCCTTCATGGTGGACAACGAGGCCATCTACGATATTTGTCGCAGGAACCTTGACATTGAGCGCCCCACCTACACCAACCTGAACAGGCTCATCAGCCAAATCGTGTCCTCCATTACTGCCTCCCTTCGCTTTGATGGTGCTTTGAATGTTGATCTGACGGAGTTCCAGACCAACCTGGTACCGTATCCCCGCATCCACTTCCCTCTGGCCACCTATGCCCCGGTGATCTCTGCAGAGAAGGCCTACCATGAGCAGCTCTCAGTGGCTGAGATCACCAACGCATGCTTCGAGCCGGCCAATCAGATGGTTAAGTGTGACCCTCGTCACGGCAAGTACATGGCCTGCTGTCTTCTGTACCGTGGCGATGTGGTGCCTAAAGACGTCAACGCTGCCATCGCCACCATTAAAACCAAGCGCTCAATCCAATTTGTGGACTGGTGTCCCACTGGCTTCAAGGTTGGCATCAACTACCAGCCACCCACTGTAGTCCCTGGGGGAGACCTTGCTAAGGTCCAGAGGGCCGTGTGCATGCTGAGCAACACCACCGCCATTGCAGAGGCCTGGGCCAGGCTGGACCACAAGTTTGACCTGATGTACGCAAAGAGGGCCTTCGTCCACTGGTATGTGGGGGAGGGGATGGAGGAAGGGGAGTTCTCTGAGGCACGAGAGGATATGGCTGCTCTGGAGAAGGATTATGAAGAGGTGGGAGTCGACTCGATTGAGGGTGAGGGAGAGGAGGAAGGAGAGGAATATTAAATGTGGTGCGAGACACAATTGAAAAATGCTAATTTTCTCTGTCCCTATATTAATTCTGAAATGTTCAGATTGTGACTTGTCAGATTGAATCTAAAATAAAGTTCTCTTAAAGTAAAGTCTTGTTTTTTCTAATTTGTTTTGAGAACCCACTAAGGGACACTGCTGGTAGTAAACCCTATTAGTTGCAGTATTCAGTGCTTATGCCGATTATGCAGAATGTAACGACTATCGAGAAGTAAACACAGATCATCTCTTTATTTCAGGGAGCCAAAGTGTGATGACTCGATGACTAGTTCTCCTGATTTTGTTCATGCTTAGCAGCAGTCAGCTTGCATAAAAGGGGATCTATAGAACAAATTATAATAAGACCTGATTTCAATATCTCATAAAATTAGAATATTTAACAAAATTGAAAAAGCATGTTACTTATTCGCTGTATTACGTGCAGCTAATAAGTAACCCTGCCTCAGTCTATGGGCAGGATACACCCTAAAAGTTTGCCAGTCTGTCACAGGGCAACAGAGACATACAGCTATGCACACGTAAGGGTAATTTAGAGATGGCAATTAAACTACAGGTGCTGGTCATAAAATTAGAATATCATGAAAAAGTAGATTGATTTCAGTAATTCCATTTAAAAAGTGAAACTTGTATATTATATTCATACATTACATACAAACTCATATATTTCAGATGTTTATTTTGTTTAATTTTGATGATTACAAATGACAACAAATGAAAATGCAAGGTGTCGATGGTCGTCTTTTGGACAACTGTCAAGTCAGCAGTCTTCCCCATGATTGTGTAGCCTATAGAACTAGACTGAAAGACCATTTAAAGGCTTTTGCAGGTGGTTTGAGTTAATTAGCTGATTAGAGTGTGGCACCAGGGGCCATCAATTTTGAACCTTTTCACAATATTCTAATTTTCTGATATGATGAATTTGAGATTTTCATTTGTTGTCATTTGTAATCATCAAAATTAAACAAAATAAACATCTGAAATATATGAGTTTGTATGTAATGTATGAATATAATATACAAGTTTCACTTTTTAAATGGAATTACTGAAATCAATCTACTTTTTCATGATATTCTAATTTTATGACCAGCACCTGTAAGTCATGTTTTTGGACTGTGGGAGGAAGCTGGAGTACCCGGAGAGAACCCATGCATGCACAGGGAAAGCATGCAAACTCAATGGAGAAATACCTTGGGCCGGGAATCAAATCTGGAACTTTCTTCCGGCAAGGTTGCATGTATGCAAGATTACATTATATAGATTATAATGTATATAGATGTCCTAAAACACTGAATTTGGGGCTTGTATTTTATGCAAGTCATAATCAACATATGATTTGAAATATTTTATTCTGTAGACATATACCAATTAATTAAAAATCATAGAAAAACAATCCAAATTGTACCATTGGTTCAGGATCAAAGCCTGTGATGTTTGATCCAAACCAACAGATGAGCTACTGCCTCGCAAATGGCTAAAACCCTGCTGATAGACCTTTGTAGGTCACAAAACAGGCTCAAATTCAAGAACACTGAGATTCGCTTAGTTTTTTCTACAGAGTTTCAAACACCTATCCAGGAGTATTTTTCAGTTCTGTCGACTCACATCAGAATCATCTGTAGTTGGAGGGGTACAAAGCTGTTTTATGCTTGCCTATATTCAAGAGAAAAGTCCACAGGAAAACTATGGAACTGAAGCATCAACAGGTAATGCAGCTCCATTAAACTACCTATTTTCATCAAGACAAAAAAACGAGTCAAAGATCACTTTTTCCTTCAAAATAAAGACGGGCAGACCCCCGGATTTTTATTTTCAGACATGATATTTACATATTTGAAAAATTGCTCTTTATAGATCATTTACAGCCACCAACTCTTGTAATGAAAATTAGTACGTTGATGAAATACATCTGGAATTTAAGCTTTAGTAATTTTTTAAAAAGAGTTCCAACAATGTGCAAACTTGGATATAAAGTGCAAACAGGAAAACTGCTCAAAGCCTGTCATCCCGACGTTTCCATGTGTTTCCAAGCACACATAACAATAAATTAATATTATTAATTAATTTAAAATATCTCTATTAACCTAAACTTTTACTAGGGTTTAAAAATGACTGCAGGTTTGAGTGTTTTCAACTCTTAAAACAAAAAAAACAAGCAGCCACCAGTACTTTCCATTAACCGATGACTCGTTTTGGGGGAAATACTTTAATGAAACTAGATGCAGGGACACTGGTGGCATTTAAAAAAAAAATATCAATGCAAAGTACTTGTTAGATATGATGCAATTTTCATGAAGGTTGTTGGAAGCTTTTCTTGAACACAAGTCAAACCTATTTAAAGATTTTTGCAGGCATATTGTGTATAACACCAATTAAAACCGCAGCAAACAGAAAAAATTGCTCAAACTGATGGATATTAGACATAACACCTCACAGTTTATTAACTAGTGGGAGTAATGCAGACAGCAGATGAGGGAGTTTTACTTTAAGGTTGGAATTTAAAGTGTGAATCTATGCAAACATGCAGGCGTGGCTTTTTTCTCGCCCGTAAAGGAGGAAGCCTACAGCAGCGCGCAGGTCTTCCAGCTCTAGGTTTGACAGAAAGCTCCTCTGTAGCTCCGCCTCCACTCTGTTCCCACTGGGTCCACTGCAGCCCTGCAGGAGAACCACAGCAGACTGGCACAGCAGCCAATCAGCCAGTTTTCTCATGCCAGCGCTGTCCTGATTGGCCAGGGCCCTGCGACCCCAGAGGCTTAGGGCGAGCATGTTGGCTGCTACACGAGCGCTTGGACGCTGAGGAGGAAGAATCATGCAGTTAGTGCAGGTTTCAGTAGAAATCTTAATTACAATGCAGCAGAACCAACATCTGTATCACAATCATCTCACCGTCACACCTTCCTTACCTTTTTTGGGTTCCTTCTGAAAAGCAGGCTTATAACTAACTGCACATCGGCTGGAACGCGAGCAGGCAGAGGAGGGAGCTGCTTCTCCTGATAGTTTGTGCTTTGCAGTCCAGCAGCTCCATAAAAAGGGTTATGCAGTCCAAATATCTCATAGGAGATTGCCCCCACAGCCCAGGCATCAGATTTGGTGTAGTCAATCACCACACCAGGACCTGGCACTGCTGTCATCACCTAAGGACAAAAATAACATCCTTTTAATGAGAATTACACTAAAACATGATGCTGAAATACCTATGTCTATTCAGCCTTTTAATATTTCATCACATAAAAACAAGTTTACGAGGTCAAACACAAAGTAGCACATCGTCGTAAAAGGGAAAAGAAAAACTTTTTGAAAAATGTTTTTAAAGTAACACAGCATAGCTTTTGATCCAAGTATCAGTTTCATTTTAGAAATATGTCAAATGATTTTTTTAGTTCAATATTGAGATTACATTTTCACCAAATGTCAGTAACAATCCATGTAATCCACACATGCAAAGAAATCAAACTATAGATGTCCAGAAATTAAGTAATGTGTAATAATGTGGAATGGCACAGGGAAAAAGTGTTGAACACTTGAAGAAATGGAGCTGCATAAACGCATGGAAAATCAAGACGCCAACCGAAATCTCTCAGGAATTAGAGAGCAATCCTGCCCCTTGTCAGTTTAACGGTGTGACCCGGGCTGCACACTCCACCTAAAATGATGCACTTTAGTGGGAGAATTTTTATACCTACAGTAGGGCTGAAACAATTGAGCGGATTAATCATGATTCATCGATTATTGTAATAATCATCGACTAATTTAGTAATCGATTCATTCAGACTCCAACAATGGCGTCCTTACCAACTTCTGTCTTGACTTTATAGGTCCCGGACGTATTTATTTCAAACACAATGTTGTTTTTTTAAACCACAAGATCCCTGACCTTGACACAATATGGTACCCACAAGATCCCTGACCTTGACACAATATGGTACCCACAAGATCCCTGACCTTGACACAATATGGTACCCACAAGATCCCTGACCTTGACACAATATGGTACCCACAAGATCCCTGACCTTGACACGATATGGTATCCACAAGATCCCTGATCTTGACACGATATTGTACCCACAAGATCCCTGATCTTGACACAATATGGTACCCACAAGATACCTGATCTTGACACAATATGCTACTCACAAGATCCCTGACCTTGACACAATATGGTACCCACAAGATCCCTGACCTTGACACAATATGTTACCCACAAGATCCCTGATCTTGACACAATATGCTACCCACAAGATCCCTGACCTTGACACAATATGCTACCCACAAGATCCCTGACCTTGACACAATATGCTACCCACAAGATCCCTGATCTTGACACAATATACTACCCACAAGATCCCTGATCTTGACACAATATGGTACCCACAAGATCCCTGACCTTGACACAATATGCTACCCACAAGATCCCTGACCTTGACACAATATGCTACCCACAAGATCCCTGACCTTGACACAATATGGTACCCACAAGATCCCTGATCTTGACACAATATGGTACCCACAAGATCCCTGACCTTGACACAATATGGTACCCACAAGATCCCTGATCTTGACACAATATGCTACCCACAAGATCCCTGATCTTGGCACAATATGGTACCCACAAGATCCCTGATCTTGACACAATATGGTACCCACAAGATCCCTGACCTTGACACGATATGATACCCACAAGATCCCTGACCTTGACAGGATATGATACCCACAAGATCGCTGACCTTGACACGATATGATACCCACAAGATCCCTGATCTTGACACAATATGATACCCACAAGATCCCTGATCTTGACACAATATGATACCCACAAGATCCCTGATCTTGACACAATATGATACCCACAAGATCCCTGATCTTGACACAATATGATACCCACAAGATCCCTGATCTTGACACAATATGATACCCACAAGATCCCTGATCTTGACACAATATGATACCCACAAGATCCCTGATCTTGACACAATATGATACCCACAAGATCCCTGATCTTGACACAATATGTTACCCACAAGATCCCTGATCTTGACACAATATGCTACCCACAAGATCCCTGATCTTGACACAATATGGTACCCACAAGATCCCTGACCTTGACACGATATGATACCCACAAGATCCCTGATCTTGACACAATAAGATCCCCACAAGATCCCTGAACTTGACACAATATGATACCCACAAGATCCCTGACCTTGACACAATATGGTACCCACAAGATCCCTGATCTTGACACAATATGATACCCACAAGATCCCTGACCTTGACACAATATGGTACCCACAAGATCCCTGATCTTGACACAATATGATACCCACAAGATCCCTGACCTTGACACAATATAATACCCACAAGATCCCTGATCTTGACACAATATGATACCCACAAGATCCCTGATCTTGACACAATACGATCCCCACAAGATCCCTGACCTTGACACAATATGGTACCCACAAGATCCCTGATCTTGACACAATATGGTACCCACAAGATCCTTGATCTTGACACAATATGATACCCACAAGATCCCTGATCTTGACACAGTATGATCCCCACAAGATCCCTGACCTTGACACAATATGGTACCCACAAGATCCCTGATCTTGACACAATATGATCCCCACAAGATCCCTGATCTTGACACAATATGATCCCCACAAGATCCCTGATCTTGACACAATATAATACCCACAAGATCCCTGATCTTGACACAATATGGTACCCACAAGATCCCTGATCTTGACACAATATGATACCCTACAAGATCCCTGACCTTGAAACAAAGCAACCAACCCTTGAGCAGCAATTACACCAAAATGGTAAAAAGAAATATGTAAACATATTGCATTTAAAATAAAAAAGCTTTCTTGTCTGTCAATATGCTCTATCCAGAAGTCAAGTGGAAACATTTTAGTTTCACCTACTTTAATTTTGCAAAAATGAAATTAATAATTTAATGAACCTTTGGCTATCAAATTATTAATCAATTAATAAAAAAACTAAATAACAGATTAATTGATTTGCAGAATAATAATAGAGTAGTTGCAGCCCTAATCTACAGTGGTTAATTAGAAAACAAATACTGACCAACATAACGTCACATATACATAAAAACAAAAAAGGAAGTATTTGGACTTACCTCAGGAGCCATGAGCGAAACATTCCCTCCTTTATCGACGTACATGCTGTTGAACGGCAGCTGTAGGCTGCAGTCATTCTGAGTGAGGCAGCAGCCAAAGTCAGTGATTACCAAACGGGGGCAGCCACCTGCAGGAAGAAAACAAATAAGGAAAGATGTCACCAATATTAAAGCAAAAGTGAAAAAAATCAGAAATAAAAGCAAGTTTGTACGGTGTTTGCTTTAAAATCTGACCTGAATCAAACTCCAGCAGAATGTTGTCTGACTTCAGATCCCTGTGAGCTACACCCTGTCTGCACAGATGGTCCACCCCCTCTAGGAGCTGCAGCAACATTAAAGAGCCCTGCCAGCGGGTGGGTGTGGAAACCTGCAGGTACTGACGTAATGTGCATGGATAGCTGCAGAAACATAAATGACAGCCGTTTAAGATCATTACAAAAAAAAAAAAGAAAAAAGATATAAACCGACTAATAACAAAACTGGTTGAGCTTTGTGTTTCAACATGTCTTACTTCTTCATGACAAGGAAAAGAGTGCGATTGTTTCCAAGGCCTGCGGGGTTGAGCCTGGGTGGCAGCACATCTGGATACTCTTCCTGGGCGCCTGGTAGCAGCGGCACATCTGCCGTGAAAGCTCGATGCACTCTGATCACGTTTGGGTGAGCTGAGACTCTTTTAGGAAGGGAACCAAAATGTCTGCGTTACAAAAGAGACAACAGAGGTTCATCAGGATGTTTGTCGCCCTTTCATCTGTACAGCAGGACAAGACGAAAAGAAACGGAACACAAAAAAATCTACCCATCCAGAGTGATGTGCTCCTTATCCTGCTTTAAGGCGAAAGGGCCAGCAGGTACAAGCTCTTGTGACATAGATTTTAATATAGCCTCACTTGATGATCCAGCCTTTAGAAAAATAAACAAAAACATAAATTGCGTCATTTTTACTCATTAGAGCTACACATGGTAGAGATGGAGGTACTTACTCCAATGTTCCACAGCATTTTTATAGCCAAGGGGAAATTTCTTAGGGAGCAGCATGCTGCCGATCGTACCGCCTGGACTTCCTCTTCATTATCCTTTAGTTCCTGCAGCGAAGCGTCGTCTTCAGACTGCTGAGGGCGGGCGAACTGAGCGGCAGCCTCATACACAGCCGCGTTGGAGCCTTTACCGATCTGCTTTCCTATAATGTAGTCCTCCAGTTTGAATCCAGAGGTGAAAGGCCTCAGTGTGCTCTGGAATTTTTTCTTCTTGAAAACAGCCTGCAGATTGAGAGAAAATCAGTTTCACATGTTAAAACTACACACATTTACCAGATCTCAGTAAATCTTTCAGGAAAAAAAAACAAAAAACTCCACATTTAAAGCAGATATCTACGGAAGAGGATTAGGGCCACTGGAAAAAAAAAGTTAACTGATTTTCTTATTTTATTTCAGTTTAGTATGGGAAAAAAGTCAGAATTCTGACTGTTTTTCTCAGGATTTTGACTTTTTTCTCAGGATTTTTACTTTTTCTCAGAATTCTGAGTTTTTTCCTCAGAATTTTCACTTTTTTCTCAGAATTCTGACAGATAAACATGTTAGCATCAAGCCATAGCCATGTCTGTTTTAGAGACTAGCTCTTTTGTTTTAATGACCTTCTGCTCCTCCATTAATGAGGGGACCCCTCGGGCAAAAACATAAAAGTAGCCTAATTCCATCATTTTCCACCAATGTGTCACTGGCCCTGTCAAACAACTCACATCTTTGTCAGTGAAGCTGAGTGCTCCCACATCTCTTCCTTCATGGTGCCCATCTACATTAAAATCCCAAATTCTGAGATTAAAGTCAGAATTCTGAGAAAAAAGTCAGAATTCTGAGATTAAAGTCAGAATTCTGAGATTAAAGTCAGAATTCTGACTTTTTTCCAATACTAAATTGAAATAAAATTTTAAAATCAGTTAACTTTTTTTTATTTTTTCCAGTGGCCCTTATCCTCTTCCGTAGATATTAAAACTAAAGCTAAAAAATATACAGACTATAAAGAACATGGAAAAATAGATGCTTAAATGATAGAAAGAAATTCATGAATCGATGGAAGGATAGATGAATGGGGGGAGAGATTGGGCAAATATGAAATACCTTTTTTCCCCACATACTCAGAATATACTGAGACTCAATCTCTTTTTTTTTTTCTCTTCAGACAGCATTAAAGGCAATCCCTCACACTAAACATGCTTGTAGCGACAGTGGAGAGGACAAACTCCCTTTTAACAGGTAGAAACCTCCAACAGAACCAGGCTCAGTGTGAGCGGCCATCTGCTGAGGCCGACTGGGGTTCAAGGAGACAGAAGATGAGATCAAAAAAAGCAACTGTAAAAGGCGCCCCGTCCATGAAACACACAGTCACACAGACGAGCTTCTAGCCAACTCCCATGTCAGAGGATGAAGAGAGCACATCCAGCCAGTCACAGTCAGAGAAACAGGACTACACTGGAAAACAGGCCGATCTCCAACATCTATAAACAAAGGTGTTGATGGCAGCAGCACAGCTGATATTTCTCTCCAGGAAGGAGTCACAGCCAAACAGGAACAAACATACTACAGTTCATAGGGTGAATAGGTGTTTATAAAGTTGCTGCATAGTGCTGATGAGTAGTATAAACTATAACCTTTCAACATGTGGATTTTCAAAAGCTAGAAAAAGAAAAGTTTTACACATATTGACACAACTAGACAAAGTATTTTAGATTTAACATTTTCAAAGGCGCCCAGAGAAGCTTAAAAGATGAAATGTTCCTTACTAGGAGAACTGACTCAGATTCTAAGCTGGTCCATCATGGCGGCAGAACTTACCTGGATGTCCTGACAGGTAGCAGCGCTCCGTCTGTCCTCCTCCAGCTGCTGCTCGATAAGCCCCACACCCAGGCCAAAAGCCAGGAACACGGCCCTGTTCCGCGGGGAGCCGCCGGTGAACCTCCTCCTGAAGCCGGCAGACTGAAGCTGAGCCGCTAGCCCCTTCAGAGAGGTTCGGTAATAGCGGTACCGGGAGGGCAGGAAAGCCTGAGGCTGAGGCTGAGCGGTGCGGACCGACAGGCCCACACGGAAACGGTCAGCTCGGAGCTTTGCTGCAACTCGGCCGCCTGTTTTAAAGAGACCAATCTGAAGGAAAGACCGGCCAAGCTCAAGCCCCCGGCTGATGGCATGTTTGACAGACATGATGAACCCAGAAAAAGAGGTTCAATACGGCCTGGTGACCGCTGCCCTCCCTGTGTAGCTCAGGGGTTACAGAAAAGTAAACAAGACGGTCCGCGCATGCGCAATGGAAGCTAGTCATTTTTATGGATCTAGCGACATCTGGTGTTGAAACAATGCAATAGCAGGAATTAATTTTGCCTTATAGCTGGGAAATTTCTTTTTTCGGGATTGATTGATTGATTGATTGATTGATTGATTGATTGAGTGGTGTCAAAAGTACACACATTTGTTACTTAAGTAGAAGTATAAATACTGCAGTTTAAGAACACTGGTAATAGTTGAAGTATCAACTTGACCTCTTTACTCAAGTAAACTACCTAAAGTATAAAAGTATAAAGTAACCTTAAAAAAAAAAAAAAAAAACAGCCAGATGCCACTATATGAATTGAAACCTCAAGTTTTCGACTATTTCAAAAAAATTCTTTGACATAGGGCCAAGGATGAGGGAGGTCTTGTTGGTCTCCGTCTCCATACGCTCTTGCCTGTGTCCGACCTTTCAGACATTTCGACATCTTTTTCTGACTCCAACATTGTAGCATGGCATATAGACAATTCGATTTTTCAGTCTGAAGAATACCTGTTTGCTTCTAATGATTTCCTTTAGCGTCAGCACAAATTTGAGGAATAGCTAACCAATGAGTGTTTGCGTTATATGACTCATCCAATTACACAAGTGTTCACTATATGTGGATGGCACCAATGATCTGCATTGGATGGCGCACATGACAAGAAATAAATATATTTATAAACATAAAAGTGAAACCAAGAGTAATGAGTAATGTTTGTTTTAAAAATGTAAGGAATAGAAAGTACAGATACTTGAGTGAAAATGTAATGAGTAGAAGTCAGAAGTAGGAAGAAAAATAAGTAATGGAGTAAAGTATAGATACCTAAAAAGTGTACATAAGTACAGTATGAAGTATTTGTTCTTCGTTACTTGACACGTCTGGCTGATTGACTTTATTGATCTCACAGTGGAGAAATCTACTATTTACATAAGCTCAAATAGTCAGAGGAGAAGAATGTGCTAAATAAAGAAAATGGTGCATGGGATATATACAGTATATACAGTGCGTCCACATATGACAGCTTTTATTTTTCCCAGAGGCGGGTAGATTACCCCAGAATTGTGCCCATGTAAAAGTCAGAGTACTTTATATTTTTACTCAATTAAAAGTAAAAAGTTGCCATTCAAGAAATTACTCAAGTAAGGGTGAAAAATGTAAAAATGTGTTATCACAGATACTTCCTCCAGCAGCTGTGAGACTCTACAACAGGCATCCCTAAAGTCGGTCTTTGAGGGCCGCTGTCCTGCAGGTTTTAGAGGATCTGGTCAGATGGTCTCTCAATTGTAATTGATAACATTTTCTGAGGGGGTAAAGGGGACTCGTCCTGTCCTGCTGGGACATACACCCTAGACTTCTGAAGAGATTGGAGAATGGTGTGTTTTACAATGCTGTCAGTAGAGGACATTGAAGACATATACATGTTTGGATTTATGATACTCTGATTTCTTCTGTTTGGATACCTGATGTATCTACAATTACAGAGTATGTTGGTTGCAATATGGGCAATAATTAGGCTGCTGGCCGTAAGCTGGATGCAATGGAATGCAAGCTGGCTGTGGTTGTTGAATTCAAAGGTGAGTAACTGAGATAACTTATAGTGTGTAGATGGAAAACAAACTGAACTGAACCAAACTAGACACAACCGGACCGGGCTAACTGCCGACCAGTTCCAGAGGTGAGCTTGGCTAGGTTTTTCCCTTGATGGTTCTCTGATAACAAGAGCGCATGAGCAGAACGCGTCATCTCCGTCTGGCTGCACATCCCGATTCACACTCCATTCCAGTAGTTGGCGGTAGAGACTGAAACGGGAGTGGATTTTCACTCCTGTCCCGTCCCACTCCCACAGAAAAAAATTGTGTCCCGTCCCGATCCCGGGCCAGAGTAGAAATCTAAATCCTGTCCCGTCCCACTCCTGGTGAAATTACTCCCACTCCCATCCCATTCAGAATGACTCCCTCTCCTGCTTCACTCCCATTCTTGTTGTCTTCAATAAGATTTCTGCCAATACATTGAATCTGAATTTCTTTTGAGCGCGGGTGAAAAACTCAGAGCGGATGCACTGTTGGTTTTTGGGTTGTGTAGTTTTTTTGCCTCGCATTATAGTGTAGGCTTCAAGGAAAAAAACTACAAAATGGGGGCGCCAGTGCTGGATTTTTTTTCTTTCTATTTTATTTTATTTTTTGGCATTGATCCTAGTTTTTTTTAGTTACTATTGGTTTGCTCCCGCTCCCGTCTGCTCCCGTTAATGTTTAATCCTGTACCATCCCAATCACATGATCCTTACTAATACTGACTCCCATCCTACAGGAATCCCGTGACCCGTGGGATTTCCGAAATAATTTCAGTCTCTAGTTGGCGGTAATGCCCCACCGGAAGTTGCTTGCCAACCATCCCAAAACAGAAGAAGAAGAACAGGAAAAGGACAACCCATAATAATGAAGTGATATTGCTTTGACAATTTGAAAACTACTTCTTAAATGTCTTCTCAAATAATCATGATTCACAAAAAACAAAAACAAGAGAAAAGATATTATACATTGATTCAATCATGCATATACATCAAGGCAGAGTCATTAGATGTTGCTGATTTTATTAAAAACAAATTTGAATGCTTAGTCAGAATTGATATGAAAGTTGATCCACTGCACATAGTTCCTCACTTTGGTGTAGACACCTGGGTAGTATGGGTTTGCACAGCTGATACCCCAGGAGACAATGCCCTCTAAGCAACCATTGCAGATAAGTGGACCACCGGAGTCTCCCTGTGGATAATAAACAAGAACAGTTTAGTTAGCAGCTGTTAGTTGTTCTAATATGAAAAAAAGGAATTTTTAGCAACGTTTGGTATGCTGTAACATTAAGTCCTGGCAAGGCTGTAATTTTGCGGGGACACGATATGGGTGGGTGCATCTGCAGCTACAGGATCTGAGGGTTTTTGTTAGGTTTTGATATTTTGATGAAAAATGAGCACAAACTTAAATGGCAATACCATATGTCTATTTAATTCTTATTTTTATGAATGCAAAAATAACAAAATAGACTATTTATAATTACAAATAGAAAGATACTTTTAGTGCCTCATTCATAAGTTGCTCTAAATTATCAGTAACATTATTAAAAAATTTATATGTTAAAAAAAAATAATAATAATGGCAGATACTGGTGCCAACATGGATATGTAGGGCATTACAAGTATGTACCCAATTTAAAATAGAAAGTCTGTCGATCTAATACCATCAGACTTGAAAACTTGAGCCTTAAAAAAGAACAACAAACCAGAATAAACTAAAAAATATATCATACATTCTTTTAAAAACATGCAAAAGTAAATGTTCCTTGTATTACAGATAAATTATGATCAGTCAATCTATCTATCTATCTATCTATCTATCTATCTATCTATCTATCTATCTATCTATCTATCTATCTATCTATCTATCTATCTATCTATCTATCTATCTATCTATCTATCTATCTATCTATCTATCTATCTATCTATCTATCTATCTATCTATCTATCTATCTATCTATCTATCTATCTATCTATCTATCTATCTATCAGGGTAAATATAGTAACAAAGACTGCAAATTATGATTCCCAGATAGATTGATGGATAGTTACTACTCTCTTTGCTGTCATCGCTGATTCTAAATAAGGATTTTCCTATAGTGAAGTGATGATGATATTGATGATAACTCTTACAATGTGTCTACTTTTTAAGACCTTTTGGATAAAAGCCTCTGCTTAATGCATAAACATAAAAAAAGATTGCTGTCACATATTTCCAATTAAACATTTAGTCGTAACTATGCTAGTTGGATAAATGCTTCCATGAGTTACCATAAAACTGGGCAGACAAGTTCAGTCTTTTCCATATTTTAACATTATAACTATAGTGTAATTACGGGGATTTACAAACAGAAATATAATATTATACATAAGTTATTTATTATCAACTATGAAGTTAAAGTCTCAATTTTTATGTTTGTGTCGCCTTAGAAATCGTTATTTATAATTACAGTGAAGCTGGTCTTGCATTTATGTAGGCAGACATCTTTGTGTTATGGAAGTGTAGAGCTAAAGAAACCTAGTGAAGGAGGAGATCACCATTACGCTTGATTATGAGTGCGGCAGGTTAGGCCTCTATAAAATCCATATTCTGCACAGATTAATAAAATGCTATTTATAAAATTGTCTTTGTTAACAAACCTCATCATCACTTGATAAGGTAAGTGATGCGGACGTTGCAAAGACATTTTGGTACGAAGATGGCCTTCATATTATTTGAGGGGGAGAAGCGGTTGGGGAAGTAAAGGAGAAGAAGAAAGGAGAAGTGGTTTTTGTTGTTGCATTCTGCAGAGGGCCGTTAGATGTTACTGCAAATAAAAACTGTAGCTTTAATAATACAAAGTAAGACCTGTAGAGTCTGAGAAGTGCTCTGAGATTTCTTAGAGGATTGCAGAAAACGGTAAATTGTTCAAATTGTTTGAAAAAAAATATTTTATTTTACGTCACTGCTGATGTCTTTCTATCTTGGCATTGTTTTAGTCCTATGAGTCTTGTCCTGTCTAAAATTTTATTTAAAAAACAACAACACAAAAACAGTTTCATCTGGAGCAGCAAACTACTTTGATACATTAAACAGAAAAGAGATGATTTGCTATTTAAGTTAGTACTTGAGTACTTTCCTCTCTGACTGCAAAGGAAGTAGGCCATAATAACATGTATTTTTAAGTAATGGCTTTATTATACCTGGCAGGAGTCTTTGCCCCCAAATGGAGATCCAGCACACATCATGTTCTCAGTGATTCTGCCCCAGTAATACCAGTTGCAGTAGCGGATTTCTCTCACGTCCACAGCCCGGAGAACAGGAGACAGAGTGTAACTCCAAACCTGTGTAACACCCCATCCACTCACAGTGCAGACATCCCCCTTTAACTCGGGTGTGTCTTCATCAGGCAGCTGCACTGGCTGGACGTAGGCGTTGAGCTGTGCTGGTCTATCCAGCTGTAACACAAAGAAAGGCGGCAAACAACCAACAATGAAATGTTGAACATCTAATACTGTAAATGCATCACTATTATATCTCCTCAAAATGCTCTTTTGTAAACCTTAATAAGCATGATGTCATTGTTGAATGTGTTGTAGCTGAACTGGTGAAAATATATTTTTGAGACGCCAAAGGTTTGTTCAAATCCCTCTTCTTTATCCAGGTTGTGTTCACTCAGCACCACAATCATCAGGTGGCTCCTGGGAATCCGAAATAGATGCACATAGCTTCTCTTTACAAACAAACTCTTGAAAACTACTAAGAAACATTAATCAACTAAAGAAAAAAGCTTTTTGACGTCAGTACTTACGGTCTCCAGCAGTGGGCAGCAGATAACACCCATTGTTTGTCCACCAATGTTCCTCCACAGTAGTGCTGTCCTGTCTCAGTCTGCAGGGAGGCCTGGTATTTGATTGAGTATGGCTGCACCTCCTGACCCCCGATGATCCTCGCTCCAAGAGCTCCTGTTTAAAAACAAAAAGCTGGTGGGTCTCAAGACCTATGAACTTGAAACATTTAACAAAGAAAAGAACTAGAAGTGTGGAGGAGGTGCCCAACCTTTATTCACTTCCTAAGATGTAAAGAAAAGTCTGGGTTTAGAAAGGTCTTTCTTTACGAAGCCCTTTAAACTCAAAGCGAATCCAAAGCCTTTTAATATGGGTTGTACCCAGCTCTGTTTTTAAGGAAAGGTTGCTGAATTTTTTTATTTATTTATTTTCTTTGTGGGTTAGTTTTATGAAGAAATATGAACATTTTATAGTTAGAAGAATGAATTTTTTTTTTTATAATTTCTTGCCTTTTCCATTTTAGAAAGCTTCAGTTAGTATACACTTTTTGATTATTACAAAAAAAAAAAGGAAAATCCAAATTAAGAGCCTTTCTTGGTGGCCCAGACGTACAGTATATGATTCTATTATTTTTTTTTAATGTTTTTTAAAGCCAAAGCCAAATGGCCTAGAAAACTGAGTTTTATTTTTTGACTGATTGGATTATTTGTAAACTGTGTAGCTAATCAGCTCTAAAGATGACTTTTAAACCAATATAAATGTGAAGTATTGTTATTTCTTGGATTTTTGTGTGTATTTGTATCACTTCATTAATATCCCTAAATGGAGATTTACCATGGACCTTCACCAGCAATCACACCTTTAACACATTTTGAATGTATAATCAAACACTGGACCACTAAATAAAATAGGTCTTCCATCTCTTGTCCTTACTTTAGGCTGTCTGCAACAATTTCCATATGACAGAAGGATTGAAATATGTCTTTTTGTGTTTCTTTATGCTCTATTTGCGTCCCTTCACTACATGTAGGCCTAAGAAGAAAATATTTTGATTTGTATGTTGTATGGATAAAAATCTTTAGAATTAATAGGGAACTATTAGAAAGTTTTATTGCAAAGACTGTTTAAGAAAATCATGCAGATGAGGCATAAAAACTTTCAAGTTGATATTTACCCAAAAATAAACCTTTTTTATTGGAATGTGTAAAGAAAACAAAAAACTGGGCACACCCAAACCCTGGTGTTAAATCGTTAAGTGTGACCCTTCCTATTTGTCTAGAAAAGGAAGTTGATTATACTAGTAAAAGTCAAACACAGACACATACACAGCACTGTTAATTTAAGTCTAAAATTATTCATACTCCTTTTTACTATATTAAAAAAATATTGTGTTTTGGAAGGAAAGTGAGACAGGCTTGTCTTCAAACATAAAACAATTAAACATAGTGCAGGTTTTAATAAAATGCCATTTTGCAAATGTATTTTGGAAATTTACATTGTTAATTTCAATTTTGAGTTTTAGCAATAAGCTTTGTGTCTTTAGGGGTGGGAGGCCTCCGTGCAAACACCCTTATCTTCACAGATTCTCTTCCAAACTGGAGGTAGGATGTTGGCTTTTTGTTTTATATTATGAGATATAATTAAAAGATGAATCGTCATCTAAATGAGGAAAGACAAATGATAGATAGATTGATTGATAGATAGATAGATAGATAGATAGATAGATAGATAGATAGATAGATAGATAGATAGATAGATAGATAGATAGATAGATAGATAGATAGATAGATAGATAGATAGATAGATTATTTAAAAGCTTGTTCATTGACTTTTTTATAGTTCTAGTTTTTAGATAGATGATTTATTCATTTAAAATATTTATCATGGATTTTTCTTTTTTGATCTATATTGAAAATAAAGATTAATAACATACCCAAAAATTCTTTGGAAGATAAAATCAACAGCACTGTAGCAATCTGCTGCAGAGTCATCGCTGATCGTAGTTTACCTGTAATACAAAGAACATTTACTTTATCATGTTTTTTTTTTTTTTTTTATAGATGTACCATTAATTTATTTTCAAATTTTTATGCTAAAGATTAAAAAAGTTGTTCTTACATCTGAACAGTGCTTACCTGAAAGATAAAAGGTTGAATCCTGCGTTGCTTCTGGTGAGACCAGTCTTCTCCTCGTGGCCTTTTAAATGTAACTTTATCCCTTTGCATCTCTTTTGTTGAATTTATCTTTCCATCTTTCTGTGTGCTTTGGTCATCTCACTTTTTAACCTTCTACATAACAAAGCTGAGGTGTTGTTCTTTCTGTAGGCTCAAGTTATCAAGTCTGATGGTATTTAGGTTGGAAACGCCTTGATATTCCGTGATGCGCTTTACAAACAAGATAGAATATTCCACTTTTCTTTATTAGATGAGATTAACTATGGAATAACTCAAAATTAATGTATTTTCTTCCAGGAAATTTATACAAATAATCTTACACGCCATCTTTCCAATGTGGAACAGCAGGTTATTACATTATGATACTCTTATTATCTTGGTTCAGCACTTTTTGTTTTTAATTTGATTCTAAAGAGTATCTGAATTTGAAAAAGTCAAGACATTTTATTTTTATCAGTAATGCACATGCCTTAAAAGAAAACTATTGCAGCTTGTAGAACCCTGACAGTGATAAAGTACAACACTATGAAAAATCTGCTTTTTTTTATCTATAATTTTAAACTCACAGCTTTAAGTTTAAGCTGCCTCATTATCTTATATCTATTATGTTCCTCATATGAATACTGCCATAAAATTTACAAAGAATCTTGTGAAATCTATTTTATTTTCACTTCTAAGGAAGGGGTGTTAACATGCAATGTTAATGTCACTAAATTTTTGCAGGGGTGCCACAAAATGTTTTTCATGTTTATCATATGTGATGCAGTTTGAGATTTACAGAAGTCTCTTGTTTACTAAAACTTTGGCAATTTTGTACATCATAGAAAGAAGCAACAGATACACAGTAATGGAATAAGGGTACAGAAACAGTTTTTTTTGTTTCTGAAATGATTCGCCGTTTGGTGTTTGTTTTTTTCTGACCATGCATTAGTGCAAAACTCTTTTGTTACTGTGTAAATACGGCATGTAATGCTAAGTGGCCCTAAAATTCTGATGCATTAACAAAATCTTTTCTGTAAAATTCCCTTTAGGTACCTATTGTTTGGTTCTTCTATCAGGTGATGCCAAACGTACTTGGGCAAATCTTAAGTTTGAGAACATAATGTTCTCAAGCTTATTTTACTGGTGCTATTGAAAAACGTTTCTTTGAAATGCAAGAAATATTACTAACATACTATATATATATATATATATTTTTTACAGTGTCCTGTCTGGCAATGTGGCAAAAAGAATAATTGTCTCAATGCCAAAAAGAGCCCAACAGATTTTACTTTCACAAGTGTAGCAGTATGGCAATTGCCATATTGCTCCACTTGTTTCATGCATATAAATTGCTTTATTATAATTATGCAGGGAGTTTTACAGTTTATATGGACACTGCAATGTAAATAGAGCAGAAAACCAGAAGAAGAAAAAGGAAAAAAATAAAAAAAGAGAAAAAAAGAAAGAAAGAAGAGATAGAAAGAAGATAATGACAAAACATTTTCAGTCTGCTTCATCACCTGTAACGAGATGAAAAAAGAACAGCACAACCTGAAAGACATGGTACGAGATATACAATAAAGCAACTAACATACTAATTAGCACATAGGTTTAAGGCAGAGGCTCCCAAACTTTTTAGCCTCTGACCTACAAAAGGGTATTACAGTCGACCCAAATTACTGGTCAATTATAAAAATATTTCAACAAAATTAATTCACCATATTAGAAGAAGCATCAACAACCAAGATGGTTGGTTTTTGTCCATTTTTAAGTGATGCTGAGGAACTAAATGTTTATTTTCTGTATTGGATCTCAAGACCCCAAGTGCTTGTGGAGCTAGTCTACATTTACCTTTTCTATCTCTGCTTCTTTTATTTTTTTTTTCTACTTCTGTCTCCTTGAACCCCAGTCGGCCTCGGCAGATGGCGGCTCACACTGACTCTGGTTCTGTTGAAGGTTTCTTCCTGTTAAATGGGAGTCTTTCCTCTCCACTGTCGCTACAAGCATGCTTAGTGTCAGGGATTACCTTCGAGTCAATGAGTCGATGCAATCAACTTGTTTTCCTTAGATAGAAAACTTTGAATTAATTTGACTGTGTGATGTGGTTGAATTGTCTCTGTAAAGTACATTGAGATGACATGTGTAGTCAGTTGCCGCTATATAAATCAACTGAATTGAATTGATCAAGGACCCCAAAGAGGTTAGTGACCCTAACTTTGGAAATCAATAGTTTAGGGTGATTAGTGGTTTTGTATTCACAAGCAAATGTTGGAGGAAGTGAGAAATTGTCAGATGGATTAAAGCATTTTCTCCGCTTGTTGCAAATGTTGCTAAAATCTGTCTGAACCAAGAAAGGTCTGAACTAAAGAGCATTAACTTAATTTACTGAAATATCAATATAAATAATAAGATCATTGATGCAAGCAGCACAAATGAGCCTCATTCATATATGGAGATTGTGTAACAGCTACTCCTAAACACTGAAATCAATAAGTTCCTCCAAGGTTCTACAGTTTTTCTGTCTGCACCCTAATAGGAGGAGACCACAGGAAAGGACTAAGATCTTGTTTTAGGAGATTTATGTTCCATCTTGTCTGTGAAAATCTCAGCATTTCCCAGAATCAGGAGGAGAAAGTTCCTGGATTGGTTTTCTTCCTGGACCTGTTTACCTTGTGATTTGATCTTAGATTGATAAAAGACAAAGGATGGGCATGGTTCAATGATTTATGTCTGGAATTAATTGAATCTGCTAGCTTTGGGGACTTTTATTGTGATTTGCTGCTGTGTACATAAACAGAATATAATAAGAGGCAGTCCTGAGCTATATGCAGCATCTAAACTGCGGAGAAAATAAACCGTGGTTAGCTCCCAGGGGATGACATATAGCTCAACTACAGCATTCAGCACAAGTGAAGACAGCTTGGAGGGCTATTAGCCGTCTGAGGTCAGGAACTCCTGAGAGGGATGGCTACTGAAATGAAACCTGCCACTGGTCTGCTCCATTTTTAATGACAGCCGGCTCCAGACCTGCTGCCTTGACCTGGTCTGATATAACAGCTTTTAACTGCCAAGACCCTTATTATAATCCTGTCTGGGGAAATCAGTGAGGGGAGACTGGACCGTGATGAACAGCAACAGAGAGCTTTAGTCTTTTTCCTTTCATTTAGTGTGATGTACATTTAATACGAATGGGAAACTACAGACGTCTTTGCATGGCTAAAACATCAGAGAGGAAGAAAAATGTATATTACACATAAAAAATAGCTAAGTTTATCAGGCTTGTGGTCCCACTGGAACAATTCATGGCATTAAAAGAACCATCCGCAAACTGTATTACAATGAACATGTTTAACCTGAATAGGTCATGAACACAGCGGGACAAAGTTAAGAACGTTTCAATTATATATTGGTCTGAGGAGGACGTGGCCATGGAAACAGAAATAGAAACTATTGGAAACCTGAGAGTGCAGGTGACTGTGAGATGCCTCCCCCTTTAATTAGACGGCTATCAAACTGGTTAAGCCTCTCACTGCAGGAAAACTTCTCTTCCTTCTGTCTCATCATGAACCTGGCATCTTTATTGCTCTTTATAGTTTTGGAAGTCATGACTGTAAACTGTAAGTACTTCTTTTTTTAATGCTTTAGTTATCATTAGCCTTTTAATTAAATATAATCAAATGGGTTTAAGTGAAATAACATTGACCAGAAAAAGATTTTTACAACATATTCTGAATTAAGCCAACATAATGAGGTTTCTAAAATGAATGCGCATGAATGTCTACCTAATATATGATTAGTGTCCTTAGTGAATTTTTGAAAGCATCCCTTTTAGTGCAGTTTGAGATTAACTACCGTATATTTATTCCCCACAAAAGTATTACTCAAAGGCTTTTACATCAGAATAATAGTTTAGAAAAAGCATCTTGAAATGATTGTATTTAACATCAAATAAATGAAAGTAAAACTTTCATGGTGGAAATCCTGTGTAAGTCAGCATGCTTGTAGGTTATTGAAACATGTTTTCTTATTAGGATGAACACTTTTACTCTTCACACACTGTAATAAAATAGGCTTTTCTCAGAAAAGAATAGGAGGGAGAAAGTGAGCTTATTCACAAACATAACATGAAACCTCTGTAACAACAGATGAGCGCTCACAACAACAATAACCAAAGGCTAATTTGCGGCTGACGCCCTGTTTTGCACATAGAAGAAAGAAATCCCAACCCTGTAATGTTTCTGGGAGGAGTGATTATGAGCTAGAGTCTCTGTTAGATTTGACATTTCTAAGTTATTTGTTAAAACTGCACCTTTTTTAACTAGCTTTCTTAAAAATGCCAACATTCAAGTTCCAAAGTATTACATAATGGTCTCAAACATCTAATTTATACTGCATGCACTGAATGAAGTTTCCACATTGCTCCCAATATGTGCCAGTGCTAACCATAACAACTAATAACAAAATCTGTGCATGAATTTGTCAGGTCCTCAGCTCCCGATTTGTTCATTGGATAGATGGATGATGGATGGATGGGTGGATAGATAATTAAATAAATAAATGTTGTTAGTGATATTTAATTCAGTATGCTTTGAGAATTAAAAAAATAAAAACAAAATGAATAAATAGGATAAAGGATTAGCTTTGTTGGAGTTTTGTTATTGCTTGTTTATTTCGGTTTCTTCCCAAAACTTTGAATTACTTTTTCATGACATTATGAGACATTTAGGCCTGTATATTTAGAGTTTGTAAATTAGGTACTTCTTCTTGTGCAGATTTTTTTTTCTGTTTGTTTAATTTGTAATGCACTTCTTATCTTAGAGGCTGTTTAATCTCAATTTCCCTTACTAAGGATATTTGGTGTTTCTTGGCCATTTGTGCCAAACTTAGCATTTACTCACCACGTTTCAAAGTGGCAATTAAATAACACATTTCAAACTAGTTCATTTTCTTTACTGAGAATTCTGGAATATACAGTCATAATTAAAGAAAAAAAAATAAAATGTTGAGGGGGAAATATTGAACTTGCTTTGCTCTGGACCAACCTACTTTTCAGTCACAAAGATAAAACAATATACAGTAATGATGATGATGATGATGTAATTTGATGGATTCTACATCAGGGAAATGCATGTTATGGTGTCAAGAAATTGACATATGGATTGCTTTAAACAGCAAACATCACAAAGCAATGGGCTCTCTGCACATCTCTACTACTTCCTGAACTTAAGGCAGCTCTTTTGTCTCCTGTCTTTCATTACTGGATGAACTGATTAACCCTGGTGTGTCTGGTCATGGTAACTGAGGTAAGGCACACCTGGTTTAATCCATTAATCAGTAGAAAAAGATAGGAAACAAAATAGCTGCCTTAAGTTCAGGAATTAGTGGAGTTGTGCATTAGTACTGGTTTGAAAAACTGACAGGAAAAATACAATTCAAAACAGCTTAAGATAAGTGTGAACACATCTTTAGAGCTATAGAACATGATATTTGCATTTTTGAGAGCCAGTCAAGGTATCAATGACAGAAAGTTATGCAACAGTATCACCAGCTTATTGGTGCCACATTACAGATTGTTATACAATCTGACAGCAGTTGGTGAGAACATCTGCAAGTCCCTGATTGTTAGAATCGCCCCTTATAGTGAACTAGACACAGGATTGGTGATAGCAAGATGGTCTAACGTTAGAACCTTAACCTAATTTATTTGCCTTCAAATACTAACAGTTTTGCATTTCAGACATTAATTGGCTGCAGCAGCAAATGCATTAAGAAAGATTTGCAGGACAGTGTATGTTAATGATTGGCTCAGGTTCTGAAATTTGTAAAATCATAATGATTTATTGGAAGGTTTATAAGCGTTAGTCATAATTTTTATGAATTTGCACAACCAAAAGCACAATATTTGAATTATTTAAGATATTAAATTTATTTAAAATAACATCTCATTTTCAAGGGGGTCCTTTGCACAAACATATTACAGGAATAGAATCTAAAACAATAAAATAAAATAAATGCAATACGACTTTTATACAACAGACAAAAGCTCCCTGAGCCTAATAACCCCCATAAATTCTGGTAGCGTTTGTACAGTAAAAAGCAAGTTTAAGCCAAATATATATTTCCACAAGTTCATCTTTTGGGATGAGGAATATTCTTTACGCATTTCTAGGCGATTCAGGGAAGAAAACTCAAACCTATGAACTTTCTGAAAATCTTTAAAGGTGCGCAGAAGAAAAGTAACAGCACATAAAACATCTGTTTTATGTGCTGTTACTTGATGTGCAGCAAAGTGAATATTTGTCAATGCTTAAGGTACAGTAATAATCCCAGAATCTACAGTGCAACAGATGTATAAATGTACAAAATATAAAAAAAATACCAAAGGTTTGGAAGATACAAGAATCAAAAGATGAAATGTTGATGGATAAGGGGATCCTGTCAAAGTTTTTCTTGTACTGTAGAAAGAATAGAAAGTACGAAAAAAAATTGGAATTCTAAATCACAAAACCTTAAACTTGAATATATATTTTTTGTCTTTTACCATCTAACTTTAATCTGTTTGACTGATTAAGGGAGCCACATTGCAGCTCTTTGCAGAAACAGTTGAGATTCTGGATCAGGGTTCATCTCAACTGGAAACAGAGAAACTGGATTCATGCCCTGAGGTTAGATATTGAGTTCTACTTGTCAGAGTTTGGACAGACCATCCAGGTTCTTTACTTCTGCTGTCGGTATGGCGCTGCAGTGCAGTTTGGACATGCCTTGGATGCACACTTTACAAAATGCTGGGTTATGAAATTATTCCCCCGATATGAGTTATAATTAGGTTACTACGTTTTTTTATATAGGTCTTATTGGGTAATTTTTTGTGCAATGCTGGGTGCAATGCATGTTCAACATGCATTGGGTAACCCAGCAGCTGATTGTTTGTGCTTCGAACTCATCCCCCGGAAAGACATGTTTGCTCTGGGATCACACCATGACTATGAATTTCGACTACGACTATCCACCATTAGCTCACACATTTGGAGCACCTGACTCACCCTCTTCATGGCAAGCCATCAATATAAGGTTTGTGCACAGAACGTCTAATTTACAAAGTCTGTGTTGCATAATATTAAAGTACTGTATTTTATTGTCAAGGTTGGCTTACTAACTAGCCACTTAGCTGTTATCATGGAAGATGGATACAGCGTTTCTGTTTTATAGTTTGGGATTTCCTAAGTGATCTAATTAAACTAGTTCATAATTTACACTGCTGTCTGCTTAAGTTTATTTTAAGGTCCTTGCTGGTTCTTCAATCAGCAGGCAGATTTGCTTGCTGGTTAATTTTCTAGCTAGTATTTTTTTATGCATTTGAGATCCTTTTAAACTATTCTGCATAAATGCAAAGTTTTAATCAGTTTTCCTAAATTGCATGCCTGGAGCTGGGAGAAGCTGTGCAGCTCATTTTCAATAAGCTGCGGCTTTTTTAGCTTTGCTTTTTAGTGTATCTTTTTGTGAAAATAAAACAAGCAGCTTTCTAAACTACAGAAAAGCAAAAGTAGTGGGATAATAACCATAGCAGTGCTACATATTCCTCCTTAATCTTGCGGCATTCTTGTTCTCCATGTGTGCTTGTGCATGTGTCAGTGTGCCGTAAGCATGCTTGTGCTTGAGCGTGTGGTGCATGTTGTTGTTATTCAGATGAGCAGAGACAGCTTTTGAGCAGACTTTGAACTTTGGTGATATAATAATACTATATTATGTTAACTGTATAACTGTGTTGACCCATTATCATAATTTCTCATTAAAATAGAGGAATTAAGTTCGTTTTTGCTGCTGTGGCAGCTAAAAGGCAGAAATATCTACATTAAAGAAATGTATTTTTCCCAATCCACAGCATTTTAAGTCTGCATTTCTACATATAGTTATAATTTGGGAGAGGACTGCATTACAGTACACAGTACTGTGTAGTTTGGTTAGATACACGTGTTATTGTTAAACATATAAGCAGTGTATAGTTTTAGGGGTATATGCTATTTACCACGTGTGGGCGGGCCTTGGGATTTGTAAAAAAAAAAAAAAAAAAATATATATATATATATATATATATATATATATATATATATATATATTAGGGATGCACGATATTGGGATTTTGGCCGATATCCGATATGCCGATATTTAAAAACTCATGTAGCCGATAACCGATATCGATACCGATGTTAAAGCTGGACAAAAATAAGTAGTCATTGAAAATAGCAGTTTTGTTATCCATTTCTGACACTTTGAAAAATAATATACTCAAATATATTTTCATATGCTGATATCAAATAGATTTTTAAAAACGCGGTATCGATCTATTTTACTTTCAAAATCTCGTGAAATTTCATCGTTCTGTTACAAACTCTCGTGATATTTTGCAAATTCTTGTGAGATTTTGTTAGTAAAATAGATCGATACCGCGTCAATATATCAACATAAAAATATGGCAAAATTTTGTGAATGTTCGGGGGATTTCGTAGCATAACGATGACATATAGCAATATTTCATTAGTAAAAGAGATTGATATGGTGTTTTTAAATGGCAATATATCAGCATATGAAGATATTGTGATATTTTAATGTATCAATATTTTTTCCCTCGTCTTTAGAAGTTTTTAAGTCTGTAAAAAAGAAGTTTTTGAGGAAGAAGAAGAAGTAGTATTTTTATTTTTTTTTTTTAACTTTAGAAACTCAGAAGCTGATCAAATATCGGTTAAATATCGGTGGGGTGGCCGATGTCCGATATTCAGTTTTAAGGCCGATACAGGCCGATACCGATAGGGGGCCGATTATATCGTGCATCCCTAATATATATATATATATATATATATATATATATATATATATATATATATATATATATATATATATATATATATATATATATATATATATATATATATATATATATCTTAAGCCCATGTTACTGGTCTTTATCCTAAAATGATAATTTGGTCCTTACTCATTCTCACTTGCTCCCTCTTGTTTTTAGGCTGGTGGTATGACTTCATGAGGCCAAGGTATCCACACCTTATCCCTTCATTCTGACACCGAGAAATGATCAGCCTCCATCTTAAGTTTCTGCCACCACTGCTGGACAGCCTTTGGACCACTGCTTTCAGCCATCAATGTTTCCTTAAATACATTTTTGATGTCACACATGAAATAGCTAAATCAGCATGAACATGTGCGGGATCGCCTGCAGAGAGCAGCCTATGAAATCCCAGGAGAGAAGTCTGAACTGCTAAACTTTCCCCAAGCTAGAATACTTGCTACCAGAGGAGCAAACAGCCTGAATTACAGCTTGTTATTGCCATTTTGACACTTGACCTGTTGCTCTTCTTGGTTGTTAGTACACTGTTGTACATTGTTTTTTTTATTACACTAATTTAAATTGTTACTTGATTAACTTGACTGCTTCCTTTTTGTAATGTGGGTAATAAGTATTAATAAATTTGAAAGTAGTGCCTCGTAAAGAATCCAGTATCGTGTTTATTGCATAAAAAATGCTTTGCATGAGCAAATTGAGCATGTATTTTAATATAGATAAGGGTTGTCTATTGCAATATATTCTCCTGATGATATGTACTGTAATGTGTTAGAATCAATCTGAGGCATTTAAAAATTTAACAAGCATTTAAAAGCATTACGTATGTAGCTGGTAAAACTTTAAAAAACTGTGATCAATTTCACCAAGCATTCAAGTAGAGGCTATTAACAACTATGTGTATTTGAATTTATCCATATTTGCATTTAATTCAACCCATAATTTGGGTAGAATAGTGTAACCCATTTGTTGGTGTTATGATTTTACTAAGGTTCAGACCCAAATGCAGAAGACCAAACTGGGAGACCAGGGAAGAGGTTTAACAGGTTTTATTGAAGAGATAATTCAGAGAGAAGTGTTCCTCCGAACACTGCTCAACCGGAACTGAAAAGTGAGGGGAGGACACTGCGGTTAGTTCAGGATCAGTGGGAAATTTGACTCGTGAACTTGGAGAAGAGGATTTGGTTGCTGACTCACATTTCCAGAGAAGTTGTTTAATCCTTGACTCCAGTCTGTATGCTGTAGTTCCAGTGTTTGATTCGGTGGAGGGCGGAACAGGGTTTACCCAGAATGCGGTAGTTTGTAGGTGAATGGAGAAAACTGCCTGCCACTCAGATTTCCTGCGGTACTTGAACGGGTCGTAGTGGAGAATAATCCCTTTCTCAGAGCGAAGCTCAAACGATCTCTTGGGAAAGTGAATCCAAACCTCCTGTTTGAAGCCCAGCTCAGTTTATAGCTCAGTTGATCCTTCCAGGGAGATAAGGTCCGAAAAATCCATTTAGCAGGATGACTTCCTGCCGAGAGGCAAAAGACAAACAATGTTAAAACTCAGGTTGACAAGAACTCAGTTTGACTTAGCTAAACTCAGCTTGGCTAGAGTACCCAAAACTGGCAAACACTCTGGCATCAAGGTAGTGGCAGTCAGCAGCTTAAGAACACTCTGTTAACAAGGAAACCATCAGCAGGTGTGTGAGGAGGCGGACCAGAGCTAGGCGCCTCTTGTTGGAGGAAGGGAGAAAACACAGAAACACAAACACACAGAAAGGAGTCCTGACAGTTGGGTTATAAAGAACCAACCATCTTGCTGGTTCCAATTAACCTGACTCGAACTGGAAATAATCAAGTTTGGGGTATTTCTGACTCACTTCTTTTTAGTTTGTACAACTTTAAGAATACGAAGAGATTCAACATGGCTGCAATTTGAATAAAGTGTTAATTTGGGTATGAAAACCTACAGAGATCAAAGTTTTTCCTGATGCATTAGGGGTAATAAAACGTTTCAGCTGCAGTAATAGGGTCTTAATTCCTCTAAAAAGTTATTTCTTTATTTTAATGGTAAATATGACTCTTTTGAGCTTCAGTTGTATTGTTGGCATTATTTACTCTCTGTAAAATTGTGCTTAAATATATTTACTCAGATAGTATTTTACTCATTTATCTAATTATTGCTTTGTTATTCTGTATTTATATCCAGCTGTCTTCCTATTCAATTTGATCAGCCTCCCTGTTCCTGTTGCAAAACATTTTTTATTTTTGTTTTCAAATTATGTAAAGAACGGTGTCCCATGTGATCTTCATCCATGGTTTAAGAACCTAATATTTCAAACATCTTCACAACTGACCTTTCCACCATGTTTCTTGGGGTGCGTGGTACTGTAAGTTCACAAATATCCTTGAACCGATTTCTGTGTTCTTCACAGAAGGGATGCATTTAATTGCAGGACTCTGTGTTCTAACCGTTTTCTCTTCTATAACATTAAATCCTAATAAAATAAATCAATGATTCTGGTTGTAATGTGAAAAATTGTGACCATATTCAAGGTGCTGTTAGGAGCAGAAATGTATTGTGTGTCTCTGGCTAACTCTTAGAAAAAAACAAACAGATAATGATTCTGAGATTCATCCTAGCTGGGAATCAATGCAGCTCTGGGATGAGATCGTTCTTCATCGATCTGCTGGGTGAAAAGGATCCTTGCAGCAAAGATTTGTGTTGGGTTTTTTTTCTGGGTCTTGTATTGTTCCTGTTGATGCTGTTTCAGCACAAATGAAAGCACAACACAAATGTTTCTTTCCATAAATCCAAAGTTAATTCCCATTTCTGTGTCACAGGTCAGGGCATTCCACAGGAACGTATAGTGGGAGGGTACGCACCAGTTCCACATTCCATCAAGTACATTGTGTCAATCCAGACAACGACCCGCAAGCACTTCTGCGGTGGCTTCCTGATTAACAAATTCTGGGTAATCACAGCAGCACACTGTAACATCGGGTGAGCCACTTTCCTTTTGATTTTCCTTTGTGAATAATAGATGTTGCATAACCTCCTGCAAAAACACAGTTGTGATAAAATAAAAGTCAAAGTTTACCTTCAAAATCCTTATTTAGGCTTTTTCTGCACAAGCTATAATAAGCCTAATGACCTGGGTTCAACTTTCTTGACTCCAGGGAATCTAAAACCAGATCAGATGCAAAATTTTGGTAATCTCCATGGCTGAAATAAAGCACATGAAAAATGAAACCATGCACACAATGGAGCTCTGTGCCTCTGCAATCTGACACAAGCATGGTTGTGGCATAAAAAGACATGACAGTTTTATGTGGATAACAAGGAAATAAAGTGCCCATAAAGAGGCAATAAATTCAGGTGGTGTTTGGCATTTAAATCAGATATTAGTTACATCAGTACATCAGCAAATAGATACCTTGTACTTATTGTTAAATGACATTCAGTAAGTGGCTGTCAGTGTCGTCGAGTTGCCCTTTTCCTTTGTTAGTTAACAAAGGGCAGTCTTTCACCTTAAGTCTTGGGATGTTTTATGTTGTTGGAAAAAAAATCTCTCTTAATAATAGATACTAATTGAAGGTCAGGTTATGGCCCTGAAATCTTAATTTGAACAAACAAAAACACTGTCCTATGATGTTCTGTGAACACACACCCAACAGACCGTGTGTTAGGACAAAACAATGAAAGGGTGAATTTAAATCTTTGTCCAACAGTTATTTCTGTACACATATACATTCAATATGCAAGAGTTTATTTACAGAATCATTCAACTCCAAGTCAAACCTATTTCAGATCAAAATTCTTGACTAAACTAGTGAAATTCAGCTTCGTATTTAGGCATAGGAAAATGAATTAAAATGGTTTAAAACCATAATTAATAAAACATAAAGTAATTATATCACAGTTTAGCTCAGCATGCATTTTTTTGTTTGGAAACCAAGTTTTATCTTTAAAAGTTTTAAAGTAGAACTGATTTAAGGAGTGGCTGCCTAGTGGTTAGGGCATAGGGCTTCGAATCCTGAGGTTGTGAGTTCGATCCCCGTTAACCCCACACTGCTCCCTGGCGCTGCACAATGGCAGCCCACTGCTCCCAAAGGGGATGGCTTAAATGCAGAGAAGTAATTTCCCTCTGGGATTATAGGGTATATAAAATACAAAAAAAATAAAGTAATAATTTAGAGCAAATGGATTGTCTTCAAACCAATTTACAGTTTACTTAAAACAGAAATCAATAACCTGTAACTTAAGGCAGCTCTTTTGTTTCCTGTCTTTTTCTACTGGATGAACTGAATAGTTCCTAACCTCAGTAACCATTTTACTGTCTTGCTGCGTGTCGTTCTGCAGTGGACATTTATACATTTTGTTCTTCTTTATATGCCATCTTTTTTTCTCTCCTTCAGCTGTGGCATACTGCGGACCTCTGGGGCAAACATCATTTTCAGATCCGTTTTTGTACCTACACTTGTACTGTGCGGTCAAAAGATTTGTCAAATGAAAGTGTAACCTGGGACTCAATAGAGGCTGTTTTGTGCAGTAAGTCAGTGAAGCTTGAAGAAAGAAATAATCTTTTTCTTTGTGGAAAAGTGGCTTCTATTTCAAAGCTAGCAGCAGTGGCAAAAGTCAGGACCTAAAGCGGATGCAGACCATTAGACCTGAGAAAGATGTCAGATCAAGTGCATTATAGGAAAATGTTCAATATGTTCAGCTTTCCATATCAACAACATATTTAGTCATGCTGAAAAGAGGGCTTGCCATTTATTAATTTAATAGATTAGCATATTATATTAATATTAGTAAAGGTATCATTTTTCAGCACTTGATAAAAAAATTTATCCTAACACTCGAGACACTAGAGAAAAATATGTGTAATTGAATCATTAAATTTGAAAAAATATTAAAATAATTAGCAATTAAATATTTTTTATAAATGAAAAAGTCCAATTCCATCCAAATATGCTTGTTATGAGTAAGTAGTGATGTCAACATCTTTTCCTTCAAAACGGGGTAAGAATGTATTGAAAAAGTCTTAACCCTATAATGCCAAATGTATCATATTTGATACATACGGTTTCTGAAATGTTTTGCGTCTGACACCTTTTGCATAATTTAATGGTAAAAACTTTGCTCAAAATCCTATTGTACACAATCAGATATACCTGATAACAGAGGGCAGAAGACTACACAAAAAATTATCTTGACTTATCGCATAGTAATAAATTATTAATATCAGAAATGTATTTCTGTTTTTTCTTTTTACATATTTTGTTAAAAGGCCAAATAAGGACTATAAACCAAAAAAAAAGTAATTTTCTGTTTTGTTTTATTCTTGGATCGGGCTTTAAATGGTTAAACAACTTTTTGCTTTAATCAACCCACTTGTCTCGCCTGCAGGGTAAACAGAATGGTGATAGTAGCAGGAGACTACTCTTTGGCTATTTATGAAGGCACAGAGCAGGAAGTCTACCCACAGTTTTTGGTTCCCCATCCTCATTACAACAGTACAACAAACAACAGTGACATCATGCTTATTAAGGTACAGAATTCAAAGTAACTGTCAGAATCTCCTGGTAAATCCATCTGTTTACGATAATAACCACGTAATCTGTCTCCAGCTGAGGGAACCTATCTACCTGAACAGCTTCGTGTCCATCGTTCTGCTGCCCAAGCAGGATGCTTCTTTAGCAGAGGGCACAATGTGTCGCGTGTCGGGCTGGGGATACACCAGCCCCACCGGGGGCCAGATTCCAGCCACCCTTCGGACTGTCACACTTCCTGTTGTCTCTACAGAACAATGCAACAGCACAAAATCATTTGATGGCAGTATTACAGACAAAATGTTGTGTGCCGGCTACAACACTGGGGGAAAGGATGCCTGTCAGGTAAGAGTTCGTTCAGTGGAGGAATGCAGCTTTACATTTGTTCAATTTATATACACCTTACACTAACAGAAAAAAACCCTTTGGGAACCGCAGCTTTAGTCCTCAACCAGCCTTGTTTCTCATAACTTCAGCTGTTTGTTTTTATATTTTATTTACATCTGACTTTGGATATAGAAAGTTATTTTATTCCAGCCATTGTCTGTACTGCAAAAAATCAAAATCTTGATAAGTCATTTTTTCTTAAAATAAGTGCATTTGTTCTTGAATTTAGGGGATAAAAGAGACATTCTGCCAATGGAACAAGAAAATTTAGATTTAAAATAAGAAAACACAATTGCATTGTTTATTTTTTAAGTGACTATTATCTAATTATCTTATTTTAAGAGTAAAAATACTGATTCCATTGGAAAACTTTTTCATTTACCTACTCAAATCAAGGGTAAATACACTTACTTTAAAATTTTTTTAATTATTTCTAGATCGTTTTTCCAGTGTGATGTTCTCCTTTATTTGCAATTTTAAAATGGAAAATGTGGCACATTAAATTTATACAACAATGAACAGTGTTTATAGATTACTTGTTAAATGCTCTTTAACAGAAATCCACTGAAAAAAGTTAATAAAACTCAGCCCCTCACTTATTTTGTTATAGTGAAGTGTTAGGGGTTGTATTTGTGATCGAAGTCCTTTTTAATATAATAAAGGCATATCTTAGTGCTGGATTAAGCAAGCAGGACTGCCACTACATTTGAAGTCATTGTGAAGCAAGATTTCATTAATAATCCTTCATTTATTCAGAAAAGTACTTTTGAGATTCACGGTCTCAGTTAAATACATTAATGTCACTGACATAAAAAAGGAATTATATTAGCATAAAAAACAATAATTATACTAACATAAAATGATAAAAATACTAATACTTTTTAAAACTTTTTTAAAATAAACTAAATACTGTACTTCTGAAGATCAATACCATAAAACACCAGCAGACGTTTTACAGAAAAGACATACTGTAGGCTACAGCGTCTGATTGGTCAAGGTTTCTAATCTATTTCCAGCATTGTTCAAAAGGAGACCAAATAATTTTTTTTTTTTTTTCTGTAATGTTCTGGTCTCAAGGCTGGTTAGTGAAACAAGTAATCAGACCAGACATCATCAAGAGATCATGACACTTTAGACACCTGACTTGAAAAAGGTGCTTCATAATCACAGGTAATTTACCATTTAAGCTGTAAATTGATTTGTCAGGGTAACCTAAGCCACTCTAACCATAGGGATTTAAAAATTAAAAAAAAAAAGAAGCCAGGTTGCCTACATCAGAGACTAAAATCGGGAGCTGGATCCACTGAAGTAGAACCTATGAGAAATAATCTGATAATTGAGAGATGGTCATTCCATTCTATTGTTAGGAACTCTAAGAACAACCAGTAAACATTTGATCTGAAAGGAAAGAGCCCAGTTTGTAATATGATGAACAATGAAATCACTAATATATGTAAAAGATTAATTATTAGGGGAATCAAATGTCAGAAAATAAATTTTAATTTCTTCTCTGGATTTAGCAGTGACCTAATAAAGTGAACCTAAAATTAGACATATATGACTCTCCTTTCAAATTTTCATCACAGATCAACATTTGTTCATAAAGCTGTGTAATTACAATTTTGTTCAATTGTAACCCTAGTGTGAGATCTTATTTACTCTAATGGTCCTCTGTGCTGGTCTTTCAGGGTGACTCAGGTGGCCCACTTGTCTGCAATGGAAGGGCCTATGGAGTGGTGTCATGGGGAAGAGGATGTGCGGATGCTGGATATCCTGGAGTCTACACTGCTGTGTCCAAGTTCCGCCACTGGATAGACAACACAATATTTAGCTACTACAGCAGATGTAATAAGAATTAGAGCTCAGTGTTAACTCATTGGAGACATAACACCCTGATTTCACTGTTGCCTCTGATCTAATTTTATGCGTGATACACTATATTGCCAAAAGTATTTGCTCACCTGCCTTGACTCACATATGAGCTTAAGTGACATCCCGTTCCTAATCCATAGGGTTCAATATGACGTCGGTCCACCCTTTGCAGCTAGAACAGCTTCAACTCTTCTGGGAAGGCTGTCCACAAGGTTTAGGAGTGTGTTTATGGGAATTTTTGACCATTCTTCCAGAAGCGCATTTGTGAGGTCGCACACTGATGTTGGACGAGAAGGCCTGGCTCTCAGTCTCCGCTCTAATTCATCCCAAAGGTGTTCTATCGGGTTGAGGTCAGGACTCTGTGCAGGCCAGTCAAGTTCATCCACACCAGACTCTGTCATCCATGTCTTTATGGACCTTGCTTTGTGCACTGGTGCACAGTCATGTTGGAAGAGGAAGGGGCCAGCTCCAAACTGTTCCCACAAAGTTGGGAGCATGGAATTGTCCAAAATGTCTTGGTATGCTGAAGCATTCAGAGTTCCTTTCACTGGAACTAAGGGGCCAAGCCCAGCTCCTGAAAAACAACCCCACACCATAATCCCCCCTCCACCAAACTTTACACTTGGCACAATGCAGTCAGACAAGTACCGTTCTCCTGGCAACCGCCAAACCCAGACCCGTCCATCAGATTGCCAGATGGAGAAGCGCGATTCGTCACTCCAGAGAACGCGTCTCCACTGCTCTAGAGTCCAGTGGCGGCGTGCTTTACACCACCGCATCCGACGCTTTGCATTGCACTTGGTGATGTATGGCTTGGATGCAGCTGCTCGACCATGGAAACCCATTCCATGAAGCTCTCTGCGCACTGTTCTTGAGCTAATCTGAAGGCCACATGAAGTTTGGAGGTCTGTAGTGATTGACTCTGCAGAAAGTTGGCGACCTCTTCGCACTATGCGCGTCAGCATCCGCTGACCCTGCTCCGTCAGTTTACGTGGCCTACCACTTCGTGGCTGAGTTGCTGTCGTTCCCAAACACTTCCATTTTCTTATAATACAGCTGACAGTTGACTGTGGAATATTTAGGAGCGAGGAAATTTCACGACTGGATTTGTTGCACAGGTGGCATCCTATCACAGTTCCACGCTGGAATTCACTGAGCTCCTGAGAGCGACCCATTCTTTCACAAATGTTTGTAAAAACAGTCTGCATGCCTAGGTGCTTGAATTTATACACCTGTGGCCATGGAAGTGATTGGAACACCTGATTCCAATAATTTGGATGGGTGAGCAAATACTTTTGGCAATATAGTGTATGTCAGGTGCACATAGTGGTATATATTCAGGGATGGGTCCATATTTTAGGAAATAGTCATACTTGCTTTCAGTCTGAGAGAGATTTCTTATTGACTCCAAAAAAGCCATAAAATTATGAGCATTGTCAGATGAAATAAGTAATCCTAAAGATGGATAAACTGATCTGAAACTGGAACAAGAAAGTTGACACTTAGACAGAAATCAGCCCCATTACAACGTTTCAAGATTATTCTGAAAAGCAACGAGTTTAAAATAGAATTTTCCAAACGTGGTTCTCAGGTTCAGTGTTTTGCATGTTTTATGTGTTTGTGCTGCCACACACCTGTTTGAAAAAAAAATGGCTGATGGACAATTGGAATACCTTCTGCAGCAATAGATGAAAGTTATAAACTCATTTCACACATTTAGAAACTTCTTAAACATGCATGATGAACGGGCCTTACTCTTCAGTGTGTTCCCAGAAAGCACAAGGTGCACCGTCTCAGTTCTTTATCTTTCTTAAAACAATTAAATGCAATTCTTAAATAACTTTAATCAAAATGTTGCATGTGTCACAGAGACTTCCCTTCCAGCGCTTGATTTGCACCTTTTCACATGTGACTTTCATTCACTTGTCTGTAAGGATTCTTTAAATGTTTTTTACCCTACTTCTTTATTTAGTAGTTTCAGTTTTGTGCCAATATCTTAAGTACGCTTGCATATCTCTTATATTTAGCTTTAACATTTTCAGCTTATTACCATGATTAATTAAGTTAATTTCTACTTTGTCAGTGCTTGGTACTGTATGAACATTTAATTGAGAACCACCAAATGTAGACCAGGCAACGTCTATACCCCAGTAGTACTAGTATCTAAAGTGTCTAATTCTGTCACATTGTTGGAATCATGGCTTTATGTCCAACCAACTTTTATCAGTTTTTAGAAAAATATAAAAGTAAATTTTTTTTTTTTTTTTTTTATCAAAATGTACCCATGTTTGAACTTTTTCGGCTTTTTGGATGCTTTTGTTAGAAAATATTATTTTCTGTATCGAAAAATGACAATAGAAATTACATAAAATGGGTGAGTCTGCTTGGCTTTATAGCAGTAAACAATAGATATCAAAGCTAATTCAGATAGCAAAGAAAATTAGAATGTCTACAAATACACATGCTCTCAACAAAAATAAAAGTGCAACACATTTGGTTTCGCTCTCATTTTTTATGAGATGAACTCAAAGATCTAAAACTTTTTCCACATACACGTCACCATTTCCTTTAAATATAGTTTACAAACCAATCTAAATCTGTGATAGTTAGCACTTCTTCACTGAGATAATCCATCCAGCCTCAGTTGTACCACATCAAGATGCTGATTGAACACCATGATTAGTGCACAGGTGTGCCTCAGACTGCCCACCATAAAAGGCCACTCTGATAGGCAGCTCATCTCCTCCAGGATGATATGGGTGGAACAAATTCTGTAGTATGGGAGAATAGAGATAGAATGAAGCAGAATGAGGAAAAGTGGTCCCCTTGTGATCCAGCAGCGTTAACATATAGCAGCATAAATATAGAAAATAGCTCAGGATAACCTACATATTTTCAGTGTGGTAAAAGAAATGTAGCACCACATGTAGGGCCAAGGTAGAGGTTTCAAGTGCATTTAAATCAGGGGTGCTCAAGTCCAGTCCTCAAGAGGTACTATCCAGCAACTTTTTTATGCAACCTTTTTTAACACACTTGAATCAAATGAGTGGCTCGTTACCACGTCTCTGCTGAGCTAAATGAGGGGAGGCTTTAGATTCAGGTGTGCTAGAGAAGAGCTGCATCTAAAAGTTACAGGAAGGTAGCTCTTGAGGACTGGACCTGAGATCCCTTATAAAAATGGTTAAAAATAATACACTTGTGACTAAGCAAATAGGATTAGAAATCTCCCTCTAAAGTTAGCACCTCTAAAAAGCCATTTGCATTTATTCCTATAAGCAACAGAGGGAATATGCATCTGATTTATGGTGTTTTGTATAATATACCTTAATCCAAATAAAAAAATTTTTATGCAAATATATTGGGTTTGTTTCCTAACTTAGGTAAAGAGTTTTGAGTTTCCCCAGTTTCTACTCATATTTCAGAACTGTTGACCTTGAAGTTCTGAAAGTGTTTGCTTGTATTATTTCATGCTTGAAATAAATGGATATATCCATTAGATAACAAGACAACATAACTTTATTCCTTTGTTTATGTGCATATGCAGTTATATTAAAAAAAAATTAAATAAAAAACTTCCTTAAAATCCATGGGTTTGATTTTAAGGTTGAAAAGCACAACTATAGCAGTGTTCATTAAAACAATTCTCCCTGCCAATGCCAAACTGTGAGGAGGAGCATCTCACCCACAGGAAAAACCAGGCTTGTCATCAGTGGCAGCATTCTCAGTAAAGGACATTGAGCTGATTTCCTGCAACCATTACTAATACCCTCTATCGCTGCTTTTAGGCTGTTTTTCTCTATTGTTATACCGCACACTTCTTCTTTTTCCTTGTTTTATGTTTTGAATGTTAACCTAAACATTTTAATCATTTTAGTGCATAAACCAACTTTTAGTTTTTTTCTTTTCATTTTTTTCTTATTAATTCATTCCAGACATGTCAAACCATTATATGACCCCGTTATACGAGCATAATCTTGCTATTATTTTTTTACTACTGTGTATTTTTGTTTTACTTTGCATGTAAAGCACTCTGAATTGTGTTATAGATATATGCCATACAAATAAACTTGCCTTGCCTTATCTTTACTGAAGCCCCTGCATTTTGTCTTGTCTTGGTTTCTCTAACTTCCATGATACAATTCAATAAACTAAAAGTACGAGAACAAACTATTTGGCATTGGTGAAGGACTTTTCATTAAAAGCTCTACACCTCAACCCTAAAATTACACTTTTTTTTTTTCTTATTACAAATTTGGCGAGGTTATTAACCAGACTTTCAATGGCGTTTATCTCTGGCCAGGAAACACAGTTCAAATAAAAAAATAATAATATCCAAAAACATTTCTTTAGAATTTTCAATGTTCTTTTTAGACCCACATGAATTAGATTTTTATAAGCCTGTACTGTTTCTTGGTGTACTAGGTGATTTATTTAGTAGGGTAGCAGCTGAGTTTCCTGTAAATATAAGTAAATACCAGAGATGGCAAAAGTACTCACTTTCCGTACTTGAGTAAAAGTACAGATACCTGTGTTAAAAAATACTCTGGTAAAAGTGGAAGTACTGATTAAACTTCTTTACTCAAGTAAAAGTAACAAAGTACAGGCTTGTAAATTTACTTAAAGTATAAAAGTAAAAGTAGAAACCACTTTTTTCATGCCGTTGCCTACATTTTAAATGGATGTCTGCCAATAGGACTAGATCTCCGTTGTGTTCATTTTCAATCATCTCGTCGTCCATGCTACTATGCTAACGCCACCGCCACCAAGCTGTAATGATTTGCTGCGAATGAATACCGCAGAATCTGTCGATTCATCTTGTAGTGGTGAGTCAAATGCAACGTAGATTCCCATCCAACTAGATTGAATTTGGTATTGATGACGTGAAAAATAATAGCGGTAACTCCATGGAAATGATTCAAAACTAAAGTAACAAGCTAATTTTTAAAAATGTAAGGAGTAGAAAGTACAGATATTTGTGTAAAAATGTAAGGAGTAGAAGTAAAAAGTCAGCATAAAAATAAGTAGTAAAGTAAAGTAAAAATGTCAGAAAAATCTACTTGAGTACAGTAACGAAGTATTTGTACTTCGTTACTTCCCATCTCTGGTAAATACCATGAAAACTAAGAAGTTAGCACATTCAGGGAACCTTAGTAAAAGAAAATGTTATCATGCATATTGACTGACTTTATTGATCTCACAGTGGAGAAATTAGCGTGGAGTGGAGGTTTCTTCCTGTTAAAAGGGAGTTTTTCCTCTCCACTGTCGCTACAAGCATGCTTAGTGTGAGGGATTGTATTTGAGTCAATGAGTCAATGCAATCAACTGGTTTTCCTTAGTTAGAAAACTTTGTATCAATTTGACTGTATGATCTGGTTGAACTGAAAAGTGCCTTGGGATGACATGTGTTGTGAATTTGGCGCTATATAAATAAACTGAATTGAATTGAATATATACCTTTTGCACTGGGTGTCAAATGTAAAGAAACAGTTTATTGCACACGGTATTAAATAGCATTTCCACATAATACATTTCACAAGTTATTGCCGTTGTAGTGTCGCATTGTAGAATCACCAAATAGTAATAACTGTATTGTTTTCCTGCTTTATACAGTTAAATTAATTACTCATTCTCCCCACTGCAAAAATGATCTCAAAATGAGTAAAAATGTCTTAAATTAAGTGTATTTATCCTTAATTTGAGCAGGTAAATAAGATGATTTGCCAATGGAATTAGTATTTTTACTCTTAAAATAAGGTATCTAGATAAAACGCACTTGAGATAAGACAATGCAATTGTTTTTTTTTTTTATTTTAAGTGTAAATTGTCTTGTTCCATTGGCAAAGTGTCTCACTTAAATCCTTAATTAAAAAAAAAAATGCACTTATTTTAAGAAGAAATTACTTATTTAGATTTAATTTTTTTGCAGTGCCATGTGCATTTAAAAAAACATGCATTGTCATGATATTTAGGGAAATGATTTCCCTTAATAAATGGTTTGGATGAAATACACCCAATCATCAGTATTGGACAATAGTATGGGGGAAATAAAAAAATTAACCGTTAATATTTTTAAAATGTTCATGAATTCATGTATTTTATGGTAAAACATGTGTTGGCTTGTCACTGGTTTTCCTTCAACACTTGATAATTTATCACAAAACTGGAACAGCGTCATTAAATATGTATTGTGCCAGTCGTCCCTCTGAGCAATCTCTGCAATGGCTTCCAAGAATTGTTTGACTCTTTCTTCCTCCTTATCGCCCTCGCAAAGCAGCAGCGTCAGTCAGCTGGGATTCCTGTAAAACACGAGCAGCTATACAGGTGCTGGTCATAAAATTAGAATATCATGAAAAAGTAGATTGATTTCAGTAATTCCATTTAAAAAGTGAAACTTGTATATTATATTCATACATTACATACAAACTCATATATTTCAGATGTTTATTTTGTTTAATTTT